GGTATTGGCTACTTGAAGACAGAGGTTACGCCCCTTCCTTTTTAAATCATTTTCGGAGAAAGATTAAAAGCCTACCAGTTAAGTTGTTATAATATTTCTTAATCTTCAATAATGGTTTCTTATATTATACTACATGTACGAATGCCTACCTCAAATACTGACTGACGTCTTCCATACCAATTGTAAGTCTATTATTTATACACTGAATTGACGACAGATTTTTTCCGTTATATCCTGATCATGACAGGGAGCACAGAGCGGGTGTGACCGGTTGACAGGGGATGTTCACTCCTCCATGGTACCAAATCCCAACTCTGATATTTCGGGGGTCCCTGATTGCCCTGCTCTTATTTTGTATTGTTTTATGGACTTTGAGATTGAATACTGTTCGTTATCTCCATATCCTTTTACTTAGTAATGTTGGTTTAACTTACTTTGGATTAACAACGGATCTACAGGTAGGCTTAGCCAAGCCTTGCCGAGCACATTTTTTAGTGCCACCGTACGTACAGAGAGGTAATTTTCACGATCCCATGGTCCTTACAACTTTCAATCAGAAGATCTTTTGATGTTTATCAACAGCATATTGTCACATAATGTTTTCAAAGACGCAAATAGGAAAAATTCTAACTTTTGAACACGGTCCACTTTCTTTCAGAGCATAACAACATCAACGGTACAACGTCATCAAGTTATACATCATCAATTTGAATTTTCAAAGTTTTTTTAAAACGAAAGTCGTATGAGATAAATGGAACATCTATAATTATGTGATTTGATATTGGCTTTATCCAACTGATTGAAATGGTGTTTATTAGTTCGGCAAGCCTCGCGAATATATATACCATATCAACTCGTTGGATAAAGCCAATCTCAAATCAAACAGTATAGAAATCCTCTACGTATCTTGAGAGAAATGTATGAAACTACATGCACTTTTTTTAAGTTAATCTTATTTATATCTTATATTTTCCCATATCTATAGAAAAGAAATTGTAAATATCTGTTTAAAATGCAATCTGACCATTACTACGTTTCCTATACATATGCCGGTAGGTATATCGTGTGCGTGCTTTTCGTGGCAAGAATAATCACATCAAATCTTATAATTAAATTTAAAACTTTTGCAAAACAATTTGAAATATTGCTTGTAAGATTTGAAATGATCATATTTGTAGGAAAGGGCTAACACTGAAAATAAAGTATCGTACCTGTTATGTTGGAACATCCAATTTCAGGAGAACATGAACTATTATCACATTTGCACTCACTCCTGCACAGTTTTCCAAAGCTGGGATAGGGGCATACATTGTTGCACCCATGTCCATGGTACCCTGGGCTGCACTCTTTAAAAAAATCAAAATATCAAATTCAACGGATAAGTAATGAGATATAATAACATAAGAATACAATGTATATACTATCTTACTGAAATCAGTCACTCTTAAAAAAGTTTTACTTAGTAGTCATTTTTTACTTGAAATAATAAAGATAAGTAAAAGATAATTACTAAGCATTTACTTAAAATTTTAAATCAATTACTAAAATATATGTCAATTACTAAATTCAAATGTTTTACTTGATTTTTTTATTTTAAAGAATTGTTTTACTTAAACACTTAAAGGTTTTACTTAGTAATTTATATTTACTTAAATTTGTGTATATAAGTAATAACATTACTTGGCCTTTACCACTATTTACTATATAACTAATATCTTTTTGCCCCCGTAAACGAAGTTTTTTTCGTGTCCGTCTGTCTGTCTCTTTGTCTGTCTGTCTCCCTGTTTGTCCGCAAAAAAATTAACCTTGCCCATAACTTTTGATTTAGCGGAGCTATGGCTTGTATATTTCACATGTCCATTCCTTTTGACAAGACCTTTCTTTGAGTATCGCCAAATTTGAACTCTTGACCTTGGAGTTTGACCCACTTTTACAAATCCCAACCAATTCTTTAGCCATATTTTTTAACAGTAAATACAAGGACATTAATACTTCACATATATATTCTTTGATGAAAGACCTTTCATTGGATACCAACAACCATGACCATTTGACTTTTACCTTGGAGATTTCATCCTTGTGAAAAAACTTTAACCTTGGCCATTTCTTTTGAACGATAAGGGATTGGGCTCTCATAGTTACATACTAGTATATGTAATTCCTGTGAGAAGACCAGTCATTGGATACCAAGAACTTTGAACCTCTGACATTGACCTTGGAGTTTGACCCACTTATAAAAAGCAAACCTTGACTTTAACTTTAAAAGGGTTAGGGTTAGTGCATTCATACTTTACAGATTTCATCCTTGTGACAAGACAATTTTTTGGGTACCACCAAATCTGACCCTTTGTCCTGGACCTTGGAGTTTGATCTACATTTAAAAATTGGTAACCTTGACCATAACGTATGAAGGGTTGGGGCTAGTGCTTTCATATTTCAGATATTTTTTTTGTGGCAGGACCTTTCATTAGATACCAATAACATTGACCATTTGACCTTGACCTTTGAGATATCAAGAAATACCAATATATTGAATTTGCATATAAGGAAAGTTTAACCTTTGGTATGTTGCCATAAGGGGGGCATCAGTGTCTTGTTTAAATTGTATTTAATTGATTTACTTAAAACAATAATTTATTAACTGAATCAAGGAGAATTAAGAGCAGTTTCAATACAAATAATTACTTAAAAATGGTAGTCTAATCACTATCAGGATTGAATTCTTGAAATGTAATATATAATTTTGGCTTCCATATTAATTGTCTGTGAGGAGGAGTTATCTTTCTCCTAAATATTTCTTCATGTAAAAAAAAAGTCATACTAATTAAAATGTTGTATTAAGTACTTGAAACTTTAAACCATTTTTAAATAAATAGTAAATAAAAAGCATATTATCTCTAAATTAAGTAATAATATTTTACTAAAAATGAGTAGTTCATTTAGTAATATAATTCCTATTAAGTATTGATACTTAGTAAATCATTTTATAAGTAAATGAATTCATCCTTATTACTAATTATGTTTACAATTACTAACCATGATAGTCATTTACTTGCTATTCTGACTAAATGGATTACTAATAATTACTAGTTTTTCTTAATCTAATATCTTATTTTAAAAACAACAAGTAAAACTTTTTTTAGAGTGGTTTCTTAGAAGCGTTTGTTTCTTGAGAATGAAAGTGATAAGAAACATGCTTAAAACATATTCCTTTTTTCTGTGTGATCTACGAAAAAATCCTAACCAATACATTTTCGAGATAGTTTATGCCATTTATATCCAGAACAACATGTCTGTCCGTCTACCCTAAAATAAAAATAAATCATTTGTTACATGAAATCATAACACAATGGCACAAATTCCTATATGTACATATACATTGCGAGCGATTAATGCATCCTTATGTGTCTAGTGCCTACAATATAGTATGCAACGTTGTATTTCTTAGTAGTGCTAGTCATAGATATTATCAATCGTTAGAAAGAATATTCCATAGTACAAAATTACATATAATAATTATGTATAACATGTACCTACACGTGAATTATATACTATACATTATAATTATATATATAACATTATATATTACATTATCTAATATTCTAACACTTACTGATATTATAAAGAAGATATATATTTACCCATCACATATACCGTCAGCGAAAAGTTTCTCGGTCTGTATCAAAATGCAAAAGAACAATAAGATACACCTCATTATCATTTTGTTATCATAAATTCAATTCCAAAAAAAAAAAAAACTTTCAAATTGATTTGTATCCTTGTATTGATATGATATGACTGTTGAATTGCTTTCGAATATTTTTAACAATTTCGTCCGCATTGCAATTGAAAATAAATTATTTTTTTAAGCGTAAACTGGAAGATATTCATCAAATAAATGCGTAGAAAAAAATGTGTTAAGTATATAACAATAATATACATGTAATACTTGTCAGAAAGATGAAAGATTCATTGTATGATGTTTCACGTCCAATTTGTGTATTTATTATTAAACAAATAATGCGAATTAATGCATTTGAGCTATTGTGTGACATTTTGTGCACTAAAAAGTATTATATTTGGCGATATAAAAAGCCGAAATAATAATATACGATGAATATTACCGATGTTAAAAAATGTGGAGCCAAAGTTCCTAGATATCAAAATTAACAAATGTGTAGATTTGAAGAATTTTCTTCTAAATATACCTTTTAACCAAAAAAAAGTCACTCATAAATCTTGCGGCTTTATGTCTTTGTGAGTAGTCTTTTAATTGAATTAAGGAATGACTCTAATTCTCTGCCAAATTATCGAGTATAATATGGTTAGGGTCAGTTTACGCAAAATAATCCGCGAAGCGGATTATAAAAAAGCGTAAACTGACCCAAACCATATTATACTCTATAATTTGGCCAAGAATTAGAGTCATTCCTTATAATTTAATTTTAAAATAATTATTCAACTGGGGATGTAAAAATGTGTTGTTTTTATGAGTTCAAATTTACCGCGCAATAATACAACCGTAGTAACGGAAGTGATGGGAAGCGAGGGGAGGTAAAAACTGATACATATATCTAGCAGCCATGATGCTTGTTTACATGAGGTAAGATCGAGTAACTGTTTGAAATTTAAGGTACATTCATTAAATCTGGAATTTTCCATGAATCCCAAGGACTGGAAATGAGGGGATTGATGGACACAGATGATTATGCTGGTTGTCAAGGGGGTGTGTCCCCATACCAAACCAGATTATACAAAATGTTATGCGTTCCTTTTTGGAAATCAACCAATGACAATGGCAAGAATACAAGCAAAATTAGATTATTGTTGAATAATTTGCATTGTTGATTTTAAATATCTTGTAAAATTTTACTTACTTTTGAAGCTAAAGCTTCTTTTCTTTTCTAAAATCTGAAGAGTGACATACTTAAATGGAAACAAACTGTAAAATTAACTTCCTGTTTACTATGAATTCTATTTATAAACCCAGCTCAAGGTGGGGATCACGTTTATTGCTCTCGCCACCAAAAGGGAAACTATGCTGTGATTTTTCTGCACAGATCGTGATTTTTTGATACACAATAAAAATAGGTAAGGCTTGCATATCCTGATTAATGTCTATGATGTTAAAAATATATGTTTTAGTTTACACTGGTAATCGTTAATCCAGTCCGCATAGTTTTTCATCGACATTCTTCTCGGACATTTTGCTATTTTAAAGTCAATTTACATGTTGATGAATATATTCTAAAACTCAAGTATCATTTTAGTTCAATCTGTCCAAATTTTGTTAAATTATAGCATGGAGTTATGACTATAGAAACCTGACTGTTACATGTACAGAGTTTTTTTTTGCCCATAGATGCATATATTTTTTTATGTCCACAGATATGTCTTAAAATTATAACTAAATTAGTTAAACGATGTAAATTATAAAACCATGCATGTTGTGTGCAGATACCTAGCTTTGCTTTCAAAAGTTTCGTTAACAATTTTTGATCATTAATAACAACGATCAAGGTTGGAAACTCTTGTTTAATTTGATCGGGACTTCATTGGCTTGTCGTCTGCATAAAAATTTTAGACTTGTCTAGTAGAGAAATTCCCTGTATCTAATTTCAACTATTTGGAGATGTTATATCTAGTTATTCAAACCTATCTTGTTTTTTTCTGAAGGGCTTTAAACTGCAAATTCCATGTATTTTAAATTTTTAATAAGAAAAGCTTACGCATACGTTGCATTAGTTTCTTGTCTCAAAATCAACAATTGGATATAAAAACCCTTCATTCGTCTCGCTCCACCTGACTGCTTTTAACAAGTATGGTCTTTCACCCCATATCACGTTTCTTTTATTTGACGAACATATGCGTTGATTTTTAACTTTGTGGCATTAAACAAATGCTTCACTTAATTGATATAACATTTTGTTATGACAAAATCTTGGTAGAATTGAGTGTTACATTATCATTATGATGTGTGGAAATATTTTTTGTTTAAAATTTACTTATCATGTTCTATATTGTCATACAGCAATATAAAGACTGCACAAAGCATTAAATTGCATTGAATTTATTTTATTTGCTCTGTGTTGAAAATTAAAAATTTGAGACGTGTTTTGAATGAGTCATATTATCATTAGTGTACGAAATATTTCCAGAGTATCTTTCTCTCCTCATTTTGAAATACATTTTGAGGAAATAAAGGCATCACATGCGGAAAGGAAAGAAGGATATTTTTTCGGAATTTTAGTACATTGTCAAGACTAAGGATTAACAGTTCCAAACCTGGAAAACCCAAAATGTTGTCAATAAATATATTAAAAATGCTAATTTTGTGATTTCTATAAGGAGGGCTAAAAATCAACATCCGGTTATACAATGAAAATCATTCAAGCGTTAAATAACTGATTTGACATCTGGAAGAATCCTTGTGTCGTGTACATTTTAATTTATAAAAAAAAACCATGACCCCCGGGGGTAGAATGTAGCCACAATAAGGAATCCGAGTTTTAAAAGAAAATATATTGGAACAATATTTTAAATCCTTCTTCTCAATTACCACAGAGCCATTGGAGCCGAAACTTATATGGGATCATCCTGGGGCAGTGTCTATTCTAAATTATTAAAATCATGACTCCTGGGGATAAAATGAGCCCTCAACAGGGAATCCAATTTATTTTAATGAGTATATGTGAAAAAATCTCCTCTAGAACCAATGGGTCAGGAAAGCTGGACTTATGTGAAAGCATCCTTGGGTAATGTAGATTTTAAATTGTTAAAATCATGATCCCGGGGCGTAGCAACATTGTGAAATCTAATCTTTACTTATAAATACAGCTTTCTCCGGATATTGAAATTCAGATGACCATGCAAATAATTATTTCAATTTATCTGCAATTCAATAGTAGAAGGATAATACGTAAGCTCAACTAGCTAGGACCTCGGGCCCCCCGCAAATAGTTCGTCATTTTGCGTAGTAATAAAATATTTTAGGAACTCTTTGGACATATTTTAGGCACACAAGTAAATTCATCCATATCAATACGGAGACATCAGTCCACCTTATATATTGATTGAATCCTGTATGATAGGCAGTTTTCTTTGTCTTACTCCAAAACAATCATATCTATAACTTTATACAGATTTGCTTTCTAATAAATATATTAGCAGAAACGTGAAAGTAATTAGGGGGACCAGAGGTAATCCTATTTTATACATCAGTAGGGAGACCAGTGGTCACCTTATATTGTACATCATTAGAGGGATCATGGGTCACCCAATATTTTAAATTATAAGGGGGCTAAAAGTAACGATTTATTGCACTTCATTAGGGGGACCACAGGATTCCTTATAATGTACATAATTTGGATGACCAGAGGTCACCTTATATTGTACATCAGAACGCGGGGACCAGTGGTCACCTAATATATTGTACTGTACATCAGTAGAGGGAACAAAGATCACCTTATGTTGTATATCAATAAGGGGACCAGATAGAGAACACCTTATATTGTATATCAGTAAGTGGACCTGAGGTAACCTTATATTTTGCATTAATAGGGAAACCAGAGGTGATCTTATATATTACATCAGTAGGTGGGGCCAGAGATGACCTTATACCAAGCATCAATAAGGAGACAAAAGATTACATTATATTGTACATCAGTAGGGGGACTAGAGGTTACCTTATATTGTACATAAGTAGGGGGACTAGAGGTTACCTTATTGTAAATCAGTAAGGGACATTTATCTTCAGTAGGGGGACCAGAGGACATTTTATATTGAACATCACTAAGGAGACAAGAGCTCAACTTATATTGTACAACATTAGGTGGATTAGAGGTCACCTTAAATTGTACATCAGTAGAGGGATAAGAGTTTATCTTACATTGTCGATCAGTACGAAGACCAGAGGACACCTTATATTGTACATCAGTAGGGAAACCAAAGGTCACCTTATATTGTACATCAGTAGGGGGGACCAGAGAACACCTTATATTGTGCATCAATAAGGAGACCAGAGGTCACCTTATGTTGTACACCAGAAGTGGGACCAGAGGACACCATATATTGAACATCAGTAGTGGGACCAGAGGTTATCCTATATTGTATAAGCCAAATTTTCTTCACTCAACGTGATCAATCCCCAAGTCACCTTATGTACACATATAACGTCATCGGTGATGGAATTTAATGTCTTTATAATGTACATCATTAGGGAGATCATATGTAACCTGATATTGTACATCATTATGTACGCATATGACACCATCGGTGATAGATTTTAATCAAAATAACAGATACAGCATTACAAATTAACAACAATTTATATTTGTTAATGTTTACACGTTTCTAATCATTTTATAGTGTATTAGAAATCTCTTCGGGTAATTTCTACGAGGGTTTAATTTCGACCACACGAACACAACACTGCACAATGATTCAAGCCATTGTTTAGACAAGTTTCATTAATTCGGTTGTAAATAAAACTATTCCTTTTATTCATTTTAAAAAATTGTTTGATCAGAGGTATAGTAAAAATTTTTAAATATTTTTTATACCTCCAGTTTGACGCTAAAAGCCGTCTTAAAAGTGCTTGATGTGATCATATAAAAGCAAGAGAGATTCCTCGTACAGTCTCTTTTTGAGTTAAACAAGGTTCAACATTGAAACAGTTTGAAATAAATTGAAAATATTATTTATTTTTCATGGAGTGTTATAAGCAGCTGAATTTCACGATTTCATCTTGGATTTTTTTCATAAAGCACAAGAAACGTCCGTTTGAATTTGGCCGAAATTACCCCTACTGTTTTAAGGACGCTGGGTAAATTCGACCAGTGACGAATAACAAAGGGAAACATGTTTGGCTTAAATCAAACTTATTTTAACGTATATTTACAACATCTACGTATGACTCTTTATAATTTTGAAAGAAAAAAGTGTTGCAATAAAAAATAGACCATGCCCTGCCCTTTATTGTCTGCATTGCCAGTGAGGTGAAGGTGTATTTTCTGATCGATGTGCGAGACAGAATTACACGTTGACGGGAGTAACGATTTTAAAAGTCAGATTAAAGAATAAAAATATGCAAAGAAAATGAAATATTATTAGAGAAAGAATGAATTTTTTTTTTCAATTTGCTTATTTTAATAATACGAATTCATCCGTTGGACATTGGATACGAAGAACTAGCAAGTTTAAGACGTATCACACAGTCCATGTTCAAAAATAGAAGTACATGTTTGAATAACACACAAAATTGAATTCCAACAATATTGAAAAAAAAATGATTAAAAGAAATAAAGAATTTGTTTGAGTTTAATAATTTTTTTGAGGAATATTATTTGTCATTGAGGGGGAGTGGAACCAAAAGAATTGGCTTTTGCACATTTCTTTCAAGTGTATGATTTGATAGAAATTTTCAAGGTCATTTTCTTTTAACAATTAACAAAACATAATACGTAATACAACGCATTTCTTAAAAATCCGTATATCTAAACAAATTCTGAATAAAATCAATTTTAATGCCGTGTTCAAACTTTCTAACCTAAAATATATATTCGTTTAGAAAAGACGATGTGAATTAAAATCCAGTTCGGATTGGACAGTTTTAAAGTCTTAACAAGGAAATTACCGCAAGGCTAGTTGAAATTAACCATGGCATCATGATTACTAATTTTTGAATCCACTCATTGTTTTTAACACAATTTTACTTCGTAAAGCATAAAATCTGAGGGAAAAAAGCAATCTTATATTTTAAAATCTATTTTGAACTTGTACATTTGAAAACTGTCAAGTTTTGCAGATTGAACGCAATATGTCACCAAAAGTGGTCGAAATTACCCCAGTTTACCCTAAATACTAATATTACGAAAACTTGTCTTCTAAAATTGACGTCATCTCGCCTAATATATATATGTCGTCATGATGTATCACTGATATAGTCAAGGTTGAATATGCTGTTTGCTTCCTTACTCCCCTGAAAAGCAGTAAAACTATTGGCACGATTGTAAAAGGCATTGAATCTTCTACCAGACTTGAAGAATACATGACTCAGGGTCAGGGGTTTTAGTGCTAAAGCGGGATTAAAT